GAGCAGCAAAATCCATCTTAAGAGACGCGGTTTAGCATCTTTCTTAGTGAGCAGGTATTTTAAAGCAGCATGATCAGTATAAATTATCACCTTGGCTCCCGCTAAGTAAGACCTAAACTTATCGATAGCAAAAACGACCGCGAGCAGCTATTTTTCGGTAGTTGCATAATTCAACTGAGCTCCGGTTAGAGTTTTGCTAGCGTAACAGATTGCATGATGCTTTTTATCCTTGGTTTGGCCCAAGACTGCACCAACAGCGAAATCGCTTGCATCACACATGATCTCGAAGGACAGAGTCCAATCAGGAGGTTGAATGATTAGAGTGGAGACGAGTGCCTTTTTGAGAATTTCAAAAGATTTTAGGCACGCGTCATTGAACTCAAAGGGCGCATCCTTAGCTAGCAAATTGGTCAAAGGCCTGGCGATTGTAGAAAAGTCCTTGATGAACCTTCTATAAAAGCCGGCATGTCCCAAGAAGCTGTGGATTCCTTTGATGTTCACAGGAGGAGGAAGCTGATCTATAACATCAATTTTAGCCCGATCAACTTCGATTCCTCGTTCGAACACTCGATGCCCAAGAACTATCCCTTCACAGACCATGAAATGGCACTTTTCCCAATTAAGCACCAGGTCCTTTTCTTGGTATCGTTCTAAGACTTTGTCTAAATTCTGTAGACAATGACCGAAAGTCTTTCGATAGACCGAGAAGTCATTCATGAAGACTTCCATGATGTCTTCGATCATGTCCGAGAAAATAGACATCATACATCTTTGGAAAGATGCAGGAGCATTACACAGTCCAAAAGACATCCTACAGTATGCATAGGTGCCATATGGACATGTGAACGTAGTCTTACTTTAGTTCTCCGGATGGATAGGAATTTGATGATACCCGGAATACCCATCAAGGAAACAGAAAAAGGAATGATTTGCCAACCGTTCCAACATTTCATCAACGAAGGGTAGCGGGAAATGATTCTTTTTTGTAGCCTTGTTAAGTTTCCTGTAATCGATGCACATTCTCCATCCGGTTACGGTTCGTTGCGGGATTAGTTCATTTTGAGCATTTGCAACGGCCGTCATTCCTCCCTTCTTTGGCACGACCTGAACTGGGCTAACCCACTCGCTGTATGGTACGAGATAAATAATCCTGGCATGCAGGAGTTTCAAGACTTCCTTCTTTACAACTTCTCGCATTGCATTAATGAGCCATCGTTAAGGTTCCCTAGAGGGAGTACTCTCGGGGTCAATAGGAATACGATGGGTGCAAAGCGCGGGATTAATCCCCCTGTGGTCTTGAAGCGAGTAGCCAAGAACAGAACGATGCTTTTCCAACACGGTGAGAAGATGTTGAGTCTCGTCTTCAGAGAGCTTGTCACTGATTATGACAGGGGCCACTCTGTCATTGTGTAGGAAAGCATATCATAGGCCTGGAGGTAGAGGTTTAAGCTCAAGCGGAGGTCGAGGTGGCGGTTCCATGATTGGCAGGTCGAGAGTCTCACCAGGATCCACTTACTCTTTGATGAAATAGGGGACCTCATCTTCCAGAAGGGCCTCGGGAGACTCGTGAGGGGGAACTGCAATAACCTCTTCCGCTGACTCAATTTCTGGGAGAGGGTCGGTCAAGGCGATCCTTGCCCGTGAGAATGGAATTGAAAATTCAGTCTCTCCCAGTGTTATTTTGAGGCTATCTAATCGGGGTGTGTTGATGAGAAGTTGCTCAATTGGCAGCCCGATTAGGATGTCAAAATCTTGGATTTCAAAGGCATGGAAATCCAAGATCGCCTCCCTATCTTCAAAGCAGACAAGCACATCTTGCACAATCCCAAATCCTTCGATGATATTTCCGCTTGGATGTTTGAAGAATTTGTTTGTCGGGGTCACTGTCTTATCGCTTAAATAAGCGAATGCAAAAGACTCTGAAACGAGATTGGCCCCGACAGTTAGACTGTAGAGAATACCGACGTCATTCCCTTCCAGATGGCAAGGAATGATTCGGGGAGCGGTATTTATTCGAATTACTTCGGATGAAAGCTCTGCCTCCCTTAACCATTCATCACTCATTATGAATGTTAACTCCCGGACAGTTTCTCGTAGGAACCCGAGTTCCATAGGACCTGGAGGTGACAAAGAAACGGGTGGTTTCCTCTTGCTAAAATAGTTCAAGTTATTGCCGTAGTCTTCATCAAAGCCGTCCCTGAACAGGATTGCGGCACGATCCAGAGTCTGAATTTCATCATTCTCGACGGACAGCTGCTCAGGAACCTTCTCATCAACCGAGCTAACAGAAGTGGATGGTTCAGCAAGTAGCTCGATCGTTAGAGGTTCCTCTATCTTGGACACGGATACCTCCGGCTGGGGTTCATTGGAGTGCGTCATGAAGGAAGTATTTTCTAGAATGCGATCCAAAATTGTTCTTCCTTCTGACGGCGTTTTGTGCAGGAACGATCCTCTAGCGGTTATGTCCAGATAGAATGCAGACTCCTTATCCAAACCTGATGAGGACATCCCTTCCAACGATACAACCACGCCTATTGCACAGCAAGGACCAATGACTAGAGCTCGAGCTCGTGAACTTAATTATCAGGAATATGGGAGAGGAACCAAATCGCAAGCAGCACTAGCAGCGCTGATTTGATGAAGTCAATGCTCTTCACTCCGGAGGGCAAACGGGGCAAATGAGTACTTGTTGGAAAGATCTCGTCGTCTACTTTCAGCTATGTGTGGCCTCACCATCAACTTTGACCCAGGCTGCTCAGAATGACGAAAATAGTTCTTTACATCAGAAACTTGGGCTTGGGCCTTGTATCATTACAGCCATCATTACAGCCCATTAGGGGTCCACAAAACCTAGGGTTTGCTCCCACCTCCTCTCCTGGTCATTCCTCCACCTATATAAACTCCTAGCAGCCACCATTTTGCACTTTGGGTTTTGTTTTGATGTAAGTTTAGCTGCAGCTACTTCCTTGTACTCGCGTGTGTCGGCTAGACCACCCGGATACTTGTATTCCGAACCCCATTTTGGTTTGTTTAAGTTTCATCATTTGACAAGTGCCGTGAGCTGTTTCCTTGTCAACTTGTTCTTGCTTGTTCTTCGATTGCTTGCAGGTTCAAGGTTGTTCTTGGCACGGCAAGAACAGCAACAACGTGGAGTCGGTGTACCGGTTGCTAAGGCGCAGCACCCCTGTGGTAGTTGTAGTCGGACCGCCAACGTCGTATCCTTCCCCAAATCGAAGTTTATCCTCCTCTCATCGAAAGATCGGGAACCCCCGTTGCTGCATCAAGTGGTATCAGAGCTCAAGTTGCTCGGTGAGAGATTTTATCACTTCTTTGTTTTTACCTACAGCCCAAAAGAAAAACCACTAAAATAGGTCAGACCCGAAATCACCAAAACATGTTGAGCCTTTGCTGTTCTACTTAGTCTTTGCTTGCTGAGTTTTCGATTGCATCGATTGGTTGAGTTGCTGGTTCTAGTAGTTTAGTCCTTTAGAGTTTCGAGTTCTGCTCACGAATTCATCACCGCAAACACTTCCACCATCACTTCATTTATCTTCATCCCGCTGCCACTATCACCACCATATTCACCACGAAATCCACCTCCAACCCCACCAAATTTCGTCCACCACAACCAGCAGCACCCTCATCACCACATCAGCCACCCCCAAATGCATTTATTGCTGCCTCCACCAACAGCCAACCCTTTTGCAACTTTTTGAAGTGAATCAGCCCTTCCCAAGAAAGCATTTAAGTGCTCTCACTTTTGACTTGTTGGCTGAATCATGTAACTAGCCAACCAACCCATCATTACTTCTTGTTTTGACTTGTTAGCTGAAGCTTTGAGCTTGCTGTACAAAAAAAAAGAAAGAAAACAAAAAAAAAGAAAGAAAAAAAAATCAGAAGTGAAGAGAAGGAAAAAAAAAGGAAGGGAAGAGAGGAAGTTGTTGTTGTTGTTGTTTTGTTTGTGTTATTTTCGTGCTATTTTGAGTGGCTACGCTTGTGACTAGGCTCGCGTCTCTAAAGGGTTTTGCCTAGGACCAGTACAATACCATCGTTGAATGATTATTCAACTTGCTTTGATTAATGTGGTTCTAGCTGTACCTTGATATTACTTGCAGCCACCTATAGCTCCACAAATTTTTATCTACTATATCACAGGATCGTGCTTGTTGTCAGCTCCGGTACTACTAACCATTGTTGCTGTTCTTACTATTTGCCAACGCCTTTTACATAACAAAGTAAGAACATGTAAGAACTCGTTTGCACAAGTTTGGTAGAAGTGTAGATGGACAACACCTAGCTCCAATAGTTGATAGGACATATTTCTTGTGAATTGTTTCTTCCCATTAACCATGACAGGAGGATCGGGGGAGCACCCTCAACATTCACCACGTACGAGGGGCATCATACAACATTTTGAGCGCCAAGTGAGGGAGCATGCTGAAGGCCTTGATGAGGATGTTAGGGTCGCCAATGATCGCCTTGGTCAATTGGAGGCTGCTCAAATTGACACCAACTCCAAGCTTTCCTCATTGGAGAGGTCCCTTGTGGCTGTGAACACTTCTCTTGCAGGTATCTTGAATACGTTGGAGAGAATGGGCCAAGATGGTCATGATGGATCGGCTAGGCGCAACCACAATGGCCATGATGCTAATAGCAGCATCGCAGCAAGGGAAGAACTGGAGTATGCTGCTGACACTGAGCATGATGAGGAGGTACTTGGTCGTCCACAAAGACAACAGCGCCGGCAGCGCCATGGCATGGGCGCTCCACCACGGCGGGAGGTACGTGATAATGATGATTCTTTAGGCAAGATCAAGTTTACCATTCCTTGCTTTGATGGAAAATATGACCCTGATGCATATCTTACTTGGGAGTTAGCCATTGATCAGAAATTTGCTTGCCATGATTTTCCTGAGAATAAACGTGTTAGGGCTGCTACTAGTGAGTTCACTGATTTTGCATCCATTTGGTGGAGTGAATTTGTTCGTTCCAATCCAAATAACACTCCCCAAACCTAGGATGCAATGAAAAGAGTCATGCGAGCTAGATTTGTTCCTTCATATCATGCACGTGATTTGCTGCACAAATTGCAACAACTTAGACAGGGAAACAAATCTGTAGAGGAGTATTATCAAGCTTTGCAAACAGGAATGCTTCGTTGTGGATTGGTAGAAAATGATGATGCTGGTATGGCTAGATTCATGGGTGGGCTGAACCGAGAAATTCAGGACATTCTAGCCTACAAAGAATATAATTCAATTAATCGTTTGTTTCATCTTGCTTGTAAAGCTGAAAGGGAAGTACAGGGACGAAGAGCTAGCTTCAGGACTAACATTTCTGCAGGTCGTGCTAGCTCTTGGACATCTTCTAACGCTGCTGCACCGTCAACTCGAGCAGCAGCACCATCGTCCTCAAGCAACAAGCTGCGTCCCTCTACAACAAACTCTACACCATGCCCGAGTGAACCAACAAGAGGGGTTGCTGCTACACCTTCCAAGAGCTCATCATCAGTAGCTTCATCAGGAAGAACAAGAGATATTCAGTGCCTACGCTGCAAGGGCTATGGTCACGTGCGCAAGGACTGCCCAAGCACTCGTGTAATGATTGTGAGAGCTGATGGTGGGTACTCCTCCGCTAGTGATTTAGATGAAGAAACCTATGCTTTGCTTGCAACTAACAATGCAGGGGAAGGTGACGCGCCCCACCAAGATGAGGAACACATTGGGGCTGAAGCTGCAGAGCACTATGAGAGCCTCATGGTGCAGCGAGTGCTAAGCGCACAAATGGAAAGGGCTGAACAGAATCAGCGCCACACCTTGTTTCAAACCAAGTGTGTGATCAAGGAACGCTCTTGCCGCGTGATCATAGATGGAGGAAGCTGCAATAATTTGGCTAGTGCTGAAATGGTGGAGAAACTTGCATTGAGCACACAGCCACATCCACAGCCCTACTATATTCAATGGCTTAATAGCAGCGGCAAGGTAAAGGTAACACGATTGGTAAGAGTACATTTTGCCATTGGTTCTTATCATGATTCAATCAACTGTGATGTTGTGCCTATGCAAGCATGTTCTATGTTATTAGGTAGGCCATGGCAGTTTGATAAAGATTCTTTACACTTTGGCAAATCCAATCAATACTCCTTTGTGCATAATGGAAAAAAACTTGTGTTACATCCTATGTCTCCTGAAGTTATTTTAAAGGATGAACTTGCTAGAGCTAGCAAACAAAAAAATCAGGAACGTACTAGGAGTGAGCATCTTATTGCGGCTAATGAACTTGAGAAGCATAAGAAGAAACCCACCAACTCTGTTCAAAATAATAAAAATGAGATTAAGCTGAAGGGATCTTGTTTCATTGCAACAAAATCAGATTTGGATGAAGTTGACACTGACACTGTTGTTTGCTATGCTTTGGTTTGCAAAGAAACCTTATTTCCAATTGAGGATACTCCTATTTCTTTGCCTCCTCCGGTCACTAACCTTTTGCAGGAGTATGCTGATATTTTCCCAAAGGAGGTTCTACCGGGGCTGCCCCCAATTCGAGGGATTGAGCACCAAATTGACCTCATTCCTGGGGCCTCTCTACCAAACCGTGCGCCATACAGGACCAACCCGGAGGAAACAAAGGAGATTCAGCGTCAAGTGCAAGAGTTACTCGATAAGGGGTATGTACGTGAGTCTCTTAGTCCTTGTTCTGTCCCCGTGCTTTTAGTTCCTAAGAAAGATGGCTCATGGCGCATGTGTGTGGATTGTAGAGCAATTAACAACATCACAATCAGATATCGTCATCCTATCCCTAGGCTAGATGATATGCTTGATGAATTGAGTGGTTCACTTGTGTTCTCTAAAATTGATTTGCGTAGTGGTTACCACTAGATTCGCATGAAGTTAGGAGATGAATGGAAAACAGCTTTTAAAACTAAATTCGGCCTATATGAGTGGTTAGTCATGCCCTTTGGTCTCACTAATGCACCTAGTACTTTCATGAGATTAATGAATGAAGTTTTACGTGCTTTCATTGGCAGATTTGTGGTGGTATATTTTGATGACATTCTCATATATAGCAGATCAATAGAGGATCATCATGGTCATTTGCGTGTTGTTTTTGATGCTCTACGAGATGCACGTTTATTTGGTAACCTTGAGAAGTGCACATTTTGCACAGATCGAGTCTCTTTTCTTGGCTATGTTGTGACTCCACAGGGAATTGAAGTAGTTCAAGCCAAGGTTGAAGCCATACATAGCTGGCCGGTTCCAACAACGATCACACAAGTGAGAAGCTTTCTAGGACTTGCTGGGTTCTACCGCCGCTTTGTGAAGGATTTTAGCACCATTGCAGCCCCATTACATGAGCTTACCAAGAGAAATGTCACATTCACTTGGGCTGCAGCACAAAGGAATGCATTCGACACTTTGAAAGATAAGTTAACACACGCTCCTTTACTCCAACTTCCTGATTTCAACAAAACTTTTGAGCTTGAATGTGATGCTAGTGGGATTGGATTGGGTGGTGTGTTGTTACAAGAAGGCAAACCTGTAGCATATTTCAGCGAGAAATTGAGTGGGCCTAGTTTGAATTATTCTACTTATGATAAGGAATTGTTTGCTCTAGTGCGAACATTGGAAACATGGCAGCATTATTTATGGCCCAAAGAATTTGTTATACACTCTGATCATGAATCTTTGAAACACATTCGAAGTCAAGCAAAACTTAACCGTAGGCATGCTAAATGGGTTGAATTTATTGAATCTTTTCCATATGTCATCAAACATAAGAAGGGAAAAGAAAATGTCATTGCTGATGCTTTGTCTAGACGTTACGCAATGCTATCCCAACTTGACTTCAAAATTTTTGGCTTAGAAACAATAAAAGAGCAATATGCGCACGATGATGATTTTAAAGATGTGTTGTTGAATTGCAAGGAGGGAAGGACTTGGAACAAATTCGTTCTCACCAATGGGTTTGTGTTTAGAGCTAATAAGTTATGCATTCCAGCTAGCTCCGTGCGTATGCTATTATTGCAGGAAGCGCATGGTGGAGGGCTGATGGGACACTTTGGTGTGAAGAAGACGGAGGATATCCTTGCTGATCATTTCTTTTGGCCTAAGATGAGGAGAGACGTGGAGAGGTTCGTTGCTCGCTGCACAACATGCCAAAAAGCTAAGTCACGCCTTAACCCTCATGGTTTGTATATGCCTTTGCCTCTTCCTAGTGTGCCTTGGGAGGATATTTCTATGGACTTTGTTTTAGGGCTGCCTAGAACAAAGAAGGGGAGGGACAGTATCTTTGTTGTTATAGATAGATTTTCTAAGATGGCGCATTTCATACCTTGTCATAAGAGTGATGATGCTACACATGTTGCTGATTTGTTCTTTCGTGAGATTGTTCACTTGCATGGAGTGCCAAACACCATAGTTTCTGATCGCGATACAAAATTCCTTAGTCATTTTTGGAGAACCTTGTGGGCTAAGTTGGGGACTAAACTTTTATTTTCTACTACATGTCACCCCCAAACTGATGGACAAACTGAGGTGGTGAATAGAACATTATCTACAATGCTTAGGGCTGTTTTGAAAAAGAATATTAAAATGTGGGAAGAATGTTTGCCTCATGTTGAGTTTGCTTATAATCGTTCACAACATTCTACTACTAAGAAGTGCCCTTTTGAGATTGTTTATGGCCTTCTACCCCGTGCTCCAATTGATCTTTTGCCCCTCCCAACTTCAGAGAGAGTGAACTTTGATGCAAAATATCGCGCTGAATTGATGTTAAAACTGCATAAGACCACTAAGGAGAACATAGAGCGCATGAATATTAAGTATAAACTTGCTGGGAGCAAAGGAAAGAAACATGTTGCTTTTGAACCTGGTGATTTGGTTTGGTTGCATTTGAGAAAGGATAGGTTCCCTAATTTGAGAAAATCTAAGTTGCTACCTAGAGCTGATGGTCCTTTCAAAGTGCTACAAAAGATTAATGACAATGCATACAAGCTTGAGCTACCTGCCGATTTTGGGGTTAGCCCCACGTTTAACATTGCAGATTTAAAGCCATATTTGGGAGAAGAAGATGAGTTAGAGTCGAGGATGACTCAAATGCAAGAAGGGGAGGATGATGAGGACATCCCTTCCAACGATACAACCACGCCTATTGCACAGCAAGGACCAATGACTAGAGCTCGAGCTCGTGAACTTAATTATCAGGAATATGGGAGAGGAACCAAATCGCAAGCAGCACTAGCAGCGCTGATTTGATGAAGTCAATGCTCTTCACTCCGGAGGGCAAACGGGGCAAATGAGTACTTGTTGGAAAGATCTCGTCGTCTACTTTCAGCTATGTGTGGCCTCACCATCAACTTTGACCCAGGCTGCTCAGAATGACGAAAATAGTTCTTTACATCAGAAACTTGGGCTTGGGCCTTGTATCATTACAGCCATCATTACAGCCCATTAGGGGTCCACAAAACCTAGGGTTTGCTCCCACCTCCTCTCCTGGTCATTCCTCCACCTATATAAACTCCTAGCAGCCACCATTTTGCACTTTGGGTTTTGTTTTGATGTAAGTTTAGCTGCAGCTACTTCCTTGTACTCGCGTGTGTCGGCTAGACCACCCGGATACTTGTATTCAGAACCCCATTTTGGTTTGTTTAAGTTTCATCATTTGACAAGTGCCGTGAGCTGTTTCCTTGTCAACTTGTTCTTGCTTGTTCTTCGATTGCTTGCAGGTTCAAGGTTGTTCTTGGCACGGCAAGAACAGCAACAACGTGGAGTCGGTGTACCGGTTGCTAAGGCGCAGCACCCCTGTGGTAGTTGTAGTCGGACCGCCAACGTCGTATCCTTCCCCAAATCGAAGTTTATCCTCCTCTCATCGAAAGATCGGGAACCCCCGTTGCTGCATCAAAACCCGTATGGAAATGTTGGAGAAGCACATACTCGGGTAAGGACAGGATTGGTCCGGATTGCACTAAATTAATGAATCTAGACCAGGCTACACCAATTGATTCGTTTTTGATCTGCTTAAAACTGAGAATTTCTACTCGAAGGGCAGTAATACGAGTAACTGGAAAGAAGGCAAGACAGAATCTGTCTCGCAACTTCTCCCAACTACCGTTTACACATCCAACGGTAGAGGTGTACCATTGCTTTGCTCTCTCTTGAAGAGAGAACGGGAACAATTTCCACCGCACAGTTTCTTGCCTCATGCCACGAATCTTAAGGCATGAGCAGACTTGTTCAAAGTCTCGTAGATGATGGTAGGGATTTTCTAGATCAAAGCCAAAAAAAGGATTTTCCCAAACCATACTGATTAGTTCGGGATGAATTCATAGTCATTTGTATAAATGGGCTCTGATGAAGGAGGTGGCTCATAGAATTCGCCCCGAGGAGTAGACAGCTCAAAAAGCGGTTGCTCCATGGTCGAGAAGAGTTTGACAGGAATACTTCTCTAGGATAGTAGGGGTAGAGATAGAATAAAAAAGCAAAAAGGATACGAGGATGAAAAAGGTTCGGAAATGATCAGCAACCGTTCCCCGACAACGGCGCCAGAAATGCTTGTTGGTATTTATTACGGTCACAGATAAAATCCGCAAGCGCAAGAATATACCAATGTAGCACTTCCCCTATGGTGTATTCCAAGGGTATTGAATCCAATGGAACGTGTGTGGTCAGATCTTCCTCCGGTTCATCCAACGAGACTAAGCAAATGGTAGGCTAGGATAGAGAGGATTTACTAGTGAGAAACAGTGTCTAGGGAAAGCTTAACTTTAATCCTAATGCAATACTTCAAGCACTGGCAACCCGCTGTTTCCAGATACAGCTCTACTACGTACCCGGACAGGGAGGACTTAAGTAATTTTGAGGGCTGTCACCACCTCTACACCCACCTCAAACGTATTGTGGGATACGCAGCAATTACTGGATAACAATTACCTAAACACCACGTCTAAGCAATTACTATCTACTTTAGTGTTTATAACTCACCAAAGCAATCACTATATTTAAGTTGATTATAGTGAACAATAATCCCGTATGCTATTTAGGAGCTAACCAAGAGGTAATTCTCACAAAATAAATCTAAATTACTCAAGAAGAATATTGTATTGAATTCAGAGTAATAAACAGAATGAAAGAAATAGAAGAAGATTACCGACAACTCTGGAATTCTTCCGACTTCTTCTACTATACTCTCTTCCTATTCTAGTATACAATATAGTACAATAGAGCCTCTTATAATTCAGCTCAAGCTTGGAGGTGTGTGTTGAAGTGAGTGAGATGATGTCCTTATATAGGGGTAGGTATGATAGTTGGCGAAGGGGAAATGTCCGATGTTCCCCGCAACCGCCATCAGGGAGTGATTTGGGACATCCATGCCAAAACCTGGGATCAACGATGATCACCAGGGTTCGGCCGAACCTGGGCTGGGCCCCCCTGGCCTGGCCTTTGGCCTGGCTCATCCTCTGATCCTCCTCTATCCATTCTTCGGTGTTTTGGGCTGATTTTCTGGTGTTTCTACGAAGTTCACAACCCATCCTTGTATGGATACATATTTCTCCTCACTTTAGTCTAGATTTCCTCCCAACATCGGGGTTTATCACCTGCATACAAATATACACCAACACTGTGTAATATGTGAGAATAAGCACCTATCACTATGTTGGATGTTTTATTATCCGAATTTTATACAGGTGTTGGCGGTATAGAATCGACATTTAACAGCCGCCAACATGGAGTATCACGTTGCTGCATTGCTCCGTCAGCGTGACCACCTCCGTTGTTGTGAGCGGTCTCTTGTTGTTGAGTATGTCCTTGAGATAACGGGAGTATGTTGGCACTTACATAGCGTCCAACAATGGCACGTTGATGTGGATCTTCTGGATAACTTCAACAAAACGAGCGAGCTGCTCGT